CGGAGTACAGCCTTTGGGCAGGAACAGTTTGTTGGGAACAGTTGCGTAGGGTAACTCTCCTGCTGCTTTGTGGAGATGCACATGCTTCATTCTGGCCAAGGGTTGGGACACTAAAGCTGGGGACCTCCAGGCTGGAGCATGTTTTTATTCACCAGGGCTAGTTTCTAGAGTTCTCTTTCCCTTGGCAAGGAACCCTGTCATGCTCAGGTGGTCGTTCCTGTAAAAGCACAGACAGGGCCGTGGGTGTGGTACATGCCTATAATCCCAGCACTCTAGGAGGCTGAGGCAGGGGGATGGTAAATTTTATTTTATTTTATTTTTGTTTTTTTTCCGGTACCAGGAATCGAACTCACGATGTTGCGCTTGCCAGGCAGGCGTTGTGCCACTGAGCTAAATCCCCAGCCCCTGGGGGATGGTAAATTTTAGCTCAGGCCGAGCAAGTTAGCAACTTAGTGAGACCTGTCTCAAAATATATAAAAAGGGCTTGGAACGCACTCAGTGTGAAGGCCCTGGGTTCATCCCCAGGACAGGAGGGGGTGCAGCTCAGAGGTGAGCATCAACCTAACACGTGAGGCCTGAGTTCAGTCCCAGCACCACACGCACATCTGAGGTCACAGCAGCACACTGAGTCTGACTGTCATCATCTTACTCCCAGGCAACTCGTGCACGAAAGAGGTGCGGGCGGGAAAGCTCAGGTCACTCACCCCAAGCCCACTGCTCCGAAGTGGAGGAAGCAGGACTGTGAGCTCCTGCCAGCGCCTCCCTTGTTCATGCCCTGACCTCAGCGAGGCCCGGCCTCCAAAGTCTCTGGAGCCCTTTGCCTCCCTCGGTCTCTGACACCACCCATTCCAGATGTCACTCCTGTAGGTGGCCAGGTCACAGAAGCAACTGTTTGTTTTGATCTTTTTGATACAGGGTTTCACTATGCAGTTCGGGCTGGCCTTGAACTCACTTTATAGCCCAGGCTGGTCTCAAACTCACAGTGATCCACCTGCCTCAGCCTCCCCAGTGCTGGGATTACAGGTATGGGCCATGCCCAGACTAAGAAACAATTTTTTTCCTCTACTTTCTTAGGTGAGTTCTAGAGGCCAGTGGACTAAACAAGTAAAACAGATTAGCAAGGGAAAAGACAAAATTTTATGCATGTACTAAGCAGTTAGGAATTGAAGGCTCATATATCAAGTTAATAGAGGAACGGGGCACAGTGTGGTGGCACACACCTATAATTCCAGCACTGGGGAGGCTGAGACAGGAGGGTCACTGCAAGTTCAGTGCCAGCCTGAGCTACACAGTGAGTTCAAAGCCAGCCTGAGCTACATAGGGAGACCCTGTCTCAAAAAACAAAAATGTAAGACAGGGAAGAGGAAAAGGGTACTTACAAGAAAACTGATAACTTTTAGGAAAGATGATGTGACTTGTGACATATGTTTTATGAGGATGTCTGTCTGGTGGTGCACACAATAATCCCAGCCTTCTGGAGGCTGAGGCAGGAGGGTTATCACGAGTTTGAGGCCAGCCTGGACTATATAGCAAGACCCTGTCTCCAAAAAAAAAAAAAGGTTGAGTCAGTCTTTTTCCGGCTGCTGCCAGGGAATGCATTTGTGACAATGAAGTTCTTTTGCAAGACTCTTTTTTTAGGTCCATAAAAGAGTTCTTGTAAAAAGCCTACTCTGAAATCCCTTGAGCTCAACATTATGTTTATGACAGTGTTACAGGGGTGATATCAGAACTTCCAAATATGATATAAGGGAAATACTATAACTCCCAATCTCTCAGATGTTTGACATACCAAGTTTGCATTCTCTAACGTGAATTAACAAGTTCTTCAAAGAACAAATTCTAGGAAGAAATACTTACTGAGATAGAAAGTTCTTCTCAGAGGAACAGGAGGGGCCTGAATGGGTTGCCCAGGGACCCCACTTTACAGGGAAATTATACAGAGCAGTACCCACATGGGTTACAGCTGCGACTAACCAGTAAGGGTACAAGTGTAGTCCCCGAGGTAACAGTGACCCAGTGAGGAAGCAAGTCGTGTAAGAAGGACGCATGAGAACAAAGATCTTTTCTGGGAAGTGACGGGTCCGGAGGTCTTGGTCGCCCACTGGGTGCTGAAGTCTGCCGAGGCTTCATTAGGCCCGGTGTCTGTCCTTCCAGGAAGGTCGTCTCTCTTTCTCTGGGACGGGTTTCCAACAGACGTCTCCAGCCACAGCTGAGATGCGTCTCCCCTCTGGCCCGGCTCTCCAGGGCCCAGCCCTCTCTGACTGCCTTCAGTATTTCCGCCTAGCTTAGCTGTCCGGAACAGAATGTGGCCTTTGTCCACTATGGCCCCTCTTGGTTCTCTCTGGCCCTCTCCCTGCCCAATTACCATTTCGAAATGCAAACACAGCCCTGGCCACTGCACTCTTCTGGCCCCCACCTCGGACTGGCCTGGAGGGTAAAAGCTGGACCCTGGGGCAGGGGTCCAAGGCCCAGCCTGCTGCACGTCCCCACCTCCCTTGCCCTCAGAGCCTGACCACAGAAGACTGCATGTGCACACGTCCCTCCCTGAGGCCTGGGACAGGCCTCCGCGCTGCCCGGGGTCCTGCTGCTGCTTGCTTCCCCAGGGAGGCCTCTGCCCTGAGCTCTGCCACTCCTTGGAACCTGCTATCTGCCACAGAGCGCTGGGCTCTGGGAGGACAGGGACCGGGTCCGTGTCAGAGCGTGTGCTGCGATTTCTAATGATTCAAGCGTCTCTGCATAAGGTGGACATTTCTGAATGAATAAGGGCATGAGGCATCAAAGGAAACTTTGAGCTTTGGGGCAGACTTAGGGCAGGGTTTCCAGGTTTTTACTGTGTGAGGCTCCCTCCAAGCATCTGCCGAAAAGGAGGGGTCCTTGCTTAGGACTGTGCTTTGCGATGCACTGAGTTACAAAAGAATACTGAAATGTAGATGTCACAATACACAAACACGCTGGACAGAAATACTTGATTCTTTATTAACTTATTAAACTGGCAGGCCTGGTCAGGACCAGAAACAGGAAATTACTACTGTGAGTTTAACAGCAACTTTGAAGCATCTTCTACACTCCAGGTCCCTGTGATTTCTGCTGTGACAGTCGCAGGGACTGGAAATTCTATAGACTTTGCTGCTTCCATTCATAATTGAAGGATGCATCGAGTTTCAGTTAAATGTCAGTGAGAACACAGGTGACTTTCCTGAGCTCAGCTCCTGTCCCTCTCCAGTACCAGGTCCCCGACGGCAACCTGAAGGTCAGCTCCAAGGGCTGTCCCAGCCCAGCCGCGCGAACAGAGTGAGCAGACGCCCGGGAGGGAGCCCTACACAGGAGCCTGGGGCTTGGGGTTTGGAGCCGGGTTCTTCCATGCCTCTGGCTCTCTTCCCTCTGGGACCCAGGGGCGGACTTGGTCCTCGGGTACCAGGAGCTGAACCTGTTTGAAGGAAGTAACAGGAAGAGGCGGGAGAGCCAGAGGGAGCCGGCCCGGACTAATTAATTACTACATGGGCACGCGGAGCTGCGGAAAACGGGGAGGGAGCCAGGAGGCTGGGCGCGCGGGCGCGGCAGGGCACCACTCCCCAGCCTCGGCCGGCTCCGACGCGGCCTGGCCTGCGGCCGCATGCCCAGGGCCTGGCACCCTGCAGGGGGAGGGGACTCAGAAAAGCTTCCCAAAGGTGGAGCGGACAGCCCGGTCGCCTTCATGCTCAGTGCCTTAGTAGCATCTGTTTTTAAGTCAGCTCACTTAGGCTCACCCCTTCGTTTAGGGCCTGGGGCTTCAGCCCGGGCCTCACACACAGCTGCTGTAGCTCAGCTGCGTCCCCGCCGGTACGTTTACGCGTACTTTTTAAATCCGCAGTCTGTAACAGTCAAAACGAAAAGCCGCCGTCCTCGCCACAAAGAGGCCGCCTGTGAACGCACCGGAGCACGGGGCACGCGGCCCTCCGCGTCCCGCAGGCCGGCCCTCCCCACGCGCGCGGGACGGGGGCTGGCGGCAGGACCCG